ACATCCATGGTTTGTCCTGGACTGATCATTATATAGTCGCTTGCAAACCTTTTAACGTAGGAGGCATCTTGTGCAACGACGATGAGGGTGTGATTGGCAATGGAAAAGAACTTGTCTTCGTTCATTGCAGCATTGATGATGCGGAGAAGGTATGTCTCCCGTTGATTAACTTCCATTCCGAACATCGTATCTGCAACATGTGATAACATGGTGAACAAGGTTCATGTAATAATCATTCCGATATAGATGATAGAATTTGGTTATACGTACCATTGCATCCGGTAGTGTCTCCTAAATGACCATTGATAGCGTAAGCGTCTGGTGGGGGTATAGCTTGGCCGGTTAAAGTTGAATTTCGGAGCAATTGCAAATAGTCTCCATTATACCATGATTCTACGCCCATTAACAGTTGATACGACGGTCAGATGAATCATACAAAAAATTACCAAAGTGTGCAAGTCGATCCCTTACCAAGTATGATTGTCTGTTCAGCATGAGGAGAGTGGAACGGATAAGTTTCGTGCTTCGCCGGTAGAATTACAAAGGCGCCATGGACGGAGCCACGAGTCCAGTCACTATGTGCGTGCCACCACAGGGTCCCTATTTCATCGGACAGTGCAACTTCGAAGGTGAAGTTTGTTCCTGGCTAAATCGGGCATTGCGTTACGAACTCAGGGCCATCTGACCACGGATTCCTTGGTTGTTTAACACCGTGCCTAATTCGACCAAAATAGTGGATGAGATGATATCATCAACAAATGAAAAGTATAGTATTATTACCAGTGAATGGTAAAGCCATAAGATCCTTGATTGTGGACGTTGACAAACACAGTGTCTCCCCTGTGAACCCGAATCTCCGGTCCCGGATAACTATCGTTCACGACCAGCATCGGCTTCATGTTGCACAGTTTTGTAAAGTTCGATTCTCGGACCTTGCGATAATTAAACAATGATTAGCAAATGTGGTATGAGAGTAATGCAAAACTAAATGAACAGTTACTTACAAAGAAGTCATAGTAATGAACATCGGCCATGCAAAGGCTGCATAGGAACAAGATCCCTAGCAACCATGGCACACCAACTAGCTTCGACAAACCCATGTGTTTCTCCAACAGATCAAAATAAGAAAATTTATGTCTTAAAAGTGTTCTTCAGTTCGCAACCTTGATTATTTTGTGAGTTTTGGGTTACGAAATCCATCAATTTATATAGAACAAAAGTGTACCTATGTTGACTAGGAACAAGTCTCCCAAAACAAATTATGGAAAATTCATTGGTCAAATGAACAAGTTTCCAACGCAGAATCCATCAGATTGTGTATATAATATAATGCGCGTAAAACCATGTAAAAGTCAGCCCATAGGTACCAACAGGCGGAGAGGCTGGCTCCTTAATGGTTTAATTTCAAATTTAGTCCCTTTAGAATCTAAAATTCTAGAATTAAGGAAATGGTAAAAGCTATATTTTGGGTGAAAATAGAATTTCTATTTAGCCCCCATTTTATGTAATTATAAGCTAAAGAAATTCTAAAATTTAGTTTTAAATATAATAGGATACATATGATGACAATTAATTACTCTTAGAATTGTAATACAAGTTTCATTTAGTCTAGTCTCTGCATTGTAATTTTTTTATGAAGAATTAAAATTTTCTTAATAAAAAAAACACTAACAATGTAATAAATTAATTATACTTTGGTGTCTTGAATATGATGCATTTTTGTCAACTGGGATCGAGAAAGAAAGACAATATTGCATACACAACCTCCAGATTCAAGGTAGCTGCCGCGTACGATTGGTATATGATTGACAATTCGGCATTACTTTGGCCTTTAATTCCTTTGTTTCTTCTTAGCCTTAGCCTTTGACCTGAAATTCTAACAGTTAAATGAGATAAAATGTTGCACATCGGAGACCCTGTCAAAATCATGTAGTAAATCGTTGTCGTCTTATCCAGAAATACATGTGTCTTAACACGTAAGGCTATCCCTTTGAATTTCACGGCTTCAAGATTAAATTATGGAAAAATCTAAAATGAAACAAGTGAAAATAAGGTTAAAGAAAGGTGGTTGAGTTTGAGACGTTGGATGAGATTTTCGATAAAATAATACACACCCCAAAAACATTTTATTAAGGATTTGTCCAATGTGATAGATTGTTTAATTAATAAAATAAATTTTAATTATTTTTATTTTAAATTCATTGAAATATAATGTTATGATATGAGAAAAATTCTAGAATGCACGTCATACATCGAAACATATCACTAACGTTACACACCGATGCACACTAGTAATTCAATTGTCCTTATTACATAAATATGAAAAAAATATAATGATTTATCCATAATTAATCCTTTATTATTATTTAGTTTAAATTCTGATATGAATATAATTATATTAAAAATTATAATTATTTCTAGAATTTTTATTTGTTATGATTGGAATCAACAATCATCAGAATCAACCGTCGACAATCCTATTCATCGTCGGAATATCATGTTCTTCAACCTCAGTTTTAAATTTTCATTCACCTAGTCCCCACCGAATTTTAACTACTTTACAACCATCCCTCTTCCGTAGCCTCGGTTAATTCTTCATATGTAAACAATGACTTTAAATTGCTTGAACCACCGGATTTTTTTATCATTGGTGGTGAATGCACAAAATCACTTCCGATACTAGTTCCAATAAGAGGAGTTGAAGATTGTGTCTTTGTATAGGATGAATCTATAAACATGTAACATTAATCAAAATAGGAGCTCCAATTAAATATAAATCGAAAATGATCAATAATTCCTTTAGCAACTGAACAAACTAATATGCAGGTGTGAAAAATTTTACATGATCATGGGAAGAATCTAGTTGGGATGGCATTACATAACCACATGTAAGTAACATGATTTTTCGACGATGAAAAGGATCGTCGGCGATTAGTTTGATGATTGTTATTGGGATGAATATGCAAATTTATATAAATGAAGTGTTTCAATCCTAAACAAATAAAAAATTCTAAAATAATTGTAATTTTTAATAAAAAAATATAAATTAATTATATTCTTATTAAAATTAAAATTAAATAATAATAAAGGATTAATGATTAAATTAAATAATAATAAAGGAGTTAGTATTTATTGTCTAATGGATAGGGATAGGCATGAGACTTAAATCGATGGGTTTCGACCCGACCCAACTCGATCGAGTAGGTTTTTTTTTAAAAAAATCGGGTTTGAGTCGGGTTGGATTTTTTAGAATGTGATATTTGGGTTAGGTCAGATCCGGGTTTAGGGTGAAAAATACCCGACCCGGCCCGAAAAATATAATTTTACCTTATATATTTAAGAATAATTACAATAATACTCCTCTCTCTATATTTTTTTTTTCAATTAAATCACTGTTTTTATATAATAAAAATAAGATTTTTATTATTTCGGGTCTGGTCGGGTTGAGATTTTATCTCAAAAAGTAGGGTCGGGTTCGGGTCGAGTAGAGGGTATATATTTTTCGGGTCGGATCAGGTCGGATGAAGGATGTAAAATGACTCATGCCCATCCCTAGTCATTATATTTAATAAAGACAATTTAATTAGTGGTGTGCATCAGTGTGTCACATTAATGATGTATTTCGGTGTGGGACGTGCACTCTAATCTCATCCTATAATACGGTATTTTAACCAAAATATTTTTTTCAAAATTTATAAATTGAATTTACATTGAATTATATATGGAAATTGAGCTATAATATATGTGTAATAATATTATTAGTGCTCTAAAGGCCGTGGGGGTGTTGAAGAAAATGGGGTATACAATGTTTGCCTGTGCCACCCAAAGTCAACAAGGCGTGCGTATCCCTTGAGGCTCTATCCAATCAGTCACCATCCATGGCCGTAAAGATTGAGAGACAAGCATGCTTCAACCTACCTTCCTCACTTCTTTTGGCCTTTTCATACTTTACTAATATTGCTTTTGTAATTATATATATATATCAGTTTAGAATTTATTAATTAACTAACTCAAATCGTCGTCGTCGTAAAAGTTTAATATGGATTTAATATGGAGACTAATTCAAATCGTCATTGTAAAAGTTTGATATGGAGACGATTCTCTTAATCAAGTTTATTTCATTTGTAAATGCCTCGAGATATTTAAATATTTTTTTATTTGAACATATATTATCTTGTATTCATCATACATTAATAATAAAAAAATAGATTTTTCTGAATAGTTTGGATAGTTATAAAGTAATATTTGTTTATAATTTTTCGTAATCTATTAACACCACACTCTGCAGACGTAAATGTTTAAATTCAATTCCACTAAAAAGAATAATATTTTCTTTAATCAATAAAATCACTTAATAATCGTAATATCTAAAATGACTAGAATTTGAATATATTAAATCCAACCCTATCTTTATTAAAATTACATAGCTTTTGGAAAAGGGTGAAGCATCCATCTCAAATCTCAATATTTCATAATATTTTATTGGTTACACTTGATCATCATTGGATAATATGATTTTTAAGGAATCTTTTGGTGTCTAATAGATCTTAATTAGAACTGGCATGTTGACTACCATACACAACACAATGGATTAATTTATCAAAAACACAGCAACCCCACTTCTTTGATCTTATTTCCAAATAAAGTTTGAAACTAAAATCCAACAAAATATACCATATTCAAAACTAATATTGTATCAGATCAGCTTTCTCTCCCCTTTCACAGCCTGTCAAGCTTGAATTATTAACCCCATGATTATAATTTGTTCATCTTTCTTGTTTCTCTAAGATAACTCTCAAATATCCTTTTTCTCTGTCAAAACAATCTGCAGATTGGGGAACATGTTCAAAGAGAATCAGAAACTGGCAACTTCTTTAGCTGCAGGTATTATTATTACTTTCATGCAGGATTCTTTGCTGTTTGCTGGTGACTTATCTCAGATGCTTGGAAGTTAAGGTCATGATTTGCAGTCGCTATAAAGAACCAGACAAGGAGAAAAAGTTGATGTTAAGGAAAGGAAAGGAAAGTTAGCAATTTTCCTGTGGAAAATCTGTTGTTTTCTGGTAAAAAGTTCAATGGTTAGACCATTTCAGGCATAACATGGAATCGATAAGGAACACGATGCTGATGCATGAAGATGTCTTCAAACACCAGGTATGCTGAATTGAAAACGTTAAAACTTTTTGTTTTCTTTTTCTTTATGGATCTCAGACGAAGGGAACCGCCGCAGGTACAGGAACTTCACCGGCTTTATAGTGTTCAGAAGATACTAATGGATGAGTTGAAAAAGGAGATAAAAAAGAACAGGTTTTGGACCACTACTAGCTGTGACATGAACCAAATTACTAGTGGGTTCGGTTTACATGTTCAAGGTGATCCAAGACCAAGGGGGTTTGACCAAGCAGGGCCTAGCTCCAGAACTAACCAGATGATGAGCATTGGAGGATCTGATGAAGATAGTGAAGTTGAACTGACACTCGGTATCGGGATCGGAGGCAGCGGTTTGAGCAAGAGGAAGCTAAAGAACTCCAGTTCAAGTTCTCAGTCAGTTCATAATAAGGAGCTTGATTCATCAGCCTCATGCAGTGGCCTGGCACTCCGGTGAGCAGCTCTAGTGCGACATTTGATCAGGAAAAGAAGCTACCACATTGGCTTTTCCAAGGTTTTAGCATAAACAGCTCTTGAACCACTCAACAATATAGTTAGGATCTCTGTATCCTTTCAACTTCTTTTGGACTTGTGATCAATATATATATGTATTGGTTTCTCTCACTTTTAGCCTAATAAACATGATTTGGGTGTACAGTAATGTTGTAAATAGGTCAATGGCCAATAGGATTTCATGGAACTTGTTGTGAACATTTATGTATTAAAGTGAAAATGTGATATAGTTTAAATTTTCTTTCAATGAAAATGAGTAGTTAACCTATTTTTGAAAACATTGATTCTTGAATTTAATAACTTTGATCATATGATATCGAAATTAAAATAGTTAAACTGACTCTAATGTTAGAATATATAACATAAGTTAATCCCTAATTCTAAGTTCATTAATTTTGAAGGCTTAATAAATAATTTGACCCGAAATTTTGAGCAAGTTTTATTGATTCCTAAGCTTTTAATTATATTTAAACAAAATATATTTATTTAATAAAAACAATAGATATGATTAGGTTAATACATCATATTTGATAAATATCTATTTATTGATCAAGCAAAAGAAAATTTCGTATAGAACAAGACAATCGTTCTTGTGTACTTTTTTCCAAGCCATCACTATTGTTTTAATAAGAGCAAATAAGTGCCTTAATTAACAAAACGAAACCCACCACTCCGTTCATCGATCACTCACCGTCTTATTCGAAACCACCAGAAAAAGGAAGAAGAAAGAGAGATGAGATATTATTATTCTAAACAAAAGGAAAGTCGACGAAAAGCTCTAAAACGGAGAATTGAGAAAGCAGATGCATGTATGCAGTATTGTTCTTGTTGAAGTGGGATTTCAGTAGGGTTTTTGAATGACAAAGGACATGCACTGAGCTTGGTGCTTACTGTCAAAGGCCAGGCAACGGATAAAAGCATTGGGGTATGCCTTTTTACATTCGTAGATTTCTTTCAGGACACGAGATGAGTCGCTGCACCCGAACATCGGCAGCTTCCATAGTGTCCAATATCTCCCGTCGTAGTACCCTGGAATCCTGCTATTCTCCCTGTGCACAGCCCCCACCTACAACAAAATTCACCTCTTAAACTGCTAAGGTGAGTAAAACTCTATTTGATTTGAAAATTTTGAATTATTCAACTCGATTCTACATTAAAAAAGTCGACTTTACTTGATTCATAATTTCATAACTTCAATAACTCGATTTTTAATAATTAGTGAATTAATTTTGAAATGTAAGTCATATCCCTTAATTCTACACAAGATATATATATATATATATATAAAATATATATGTCTAAATGAAAATTAGTTAATATTATAAATATTTATAATTAAATTTAAATAAAATTTTAACAAATCAATTCGAAAAACTTTCGAACTCATCAACTTAAGTAATTTGATTACTCATTCGATTTAATGCTTACCCCAGATAAAGCACTAAAAGGAAGCACATTTGTATATGTTGTGACCACAAATCTTTTATCGACGAAAACTTTTGTGATTATAGGGTCCGAATTACCTCATCAAATTCAAGACAAGGGATCCACCCATTTTTCATCATGTAATCGACTTCCTTTGCGATGGAGTCATCCGAGAGAGGTGGAAGGTAAGAGAGCGTCTCGAACTTCTTGTTGTTGATTGGATTCCATGTCTGTAAAAAATCACAACACAAAACATGCAATCGAACCCACATAAGAACTGAAAAGCCGATGACAGCACAGTCCTACCTTCATGCAGTGGGTTCTTGAACCATTGGAGACCCTTTTTTTGCTCCACGAAACCAAATCCCTAGTCGGAACCAGCTTTGGAACACTGGTTTTCAACCCCACAAAACCAGAACCAGCGACCGGTGAAGCAAAGATCCCTGCAGCAGACATATTGGTTAAAGCTTATGAAACAAAAAATATACTGATTGTGCGATCGAGCGAGTAACCGAGTATAAATGATGAAGTGATAGGACAAAAGCAGTTGGCTTGGATGCCCGTGAGCTGATGTATGGTTTGTTAAACTTGAAAAAACAAACGATTTGTTCAAAGATGGTGAAGGTGTTTTTAATGCTCCTTGGCTTCGGTTTTATCACCATGGCCGTACGTTTGGCAAGCAGTGAAAAGGGTTGGGAAAGGTGCAAACCAATGGACTCCACTCGGGTGTTTAGTCTTTGGTATTAACAAGTGGAAGACATCAGCAAATAGAACCGCTTCAAAATCAAGACCGATGAATTTTTAATATCAAATCAACTTTAATCCACAACATTTGATAAATCTATCTACATACTTATCAATAAAGTGTATTGTAATAATTTAAACAATGGAAATAGTAGAATATATTAGAATGTAAATGTTTATGAATAAGTGAAACCCAAAGTAACATTTGGGCCGAGATTTAAGAAAATATTAGAATGTTAACGTTTAGGAGATGTTCTGAAGGCCATATGAAAGGGGCTTTCTTATTAAACTGAACCATCACATGAGCTTGCATCATCTTCTTAGGCCATTATCGCTGATGCTTTTTTTTAACTGGGGAAGATATTTGAATATTTGATTTGAATTTCATAAGTTTTGATTTAACATAATATTATAATGATGAAGTCACTACAGCAAAATTGATATGTAGCGGTGTTTGGGGAGAAAACGCCACAAAAGTTAAACATATAGCAGCGTTTACAATCGTAGCGCCACAAATTGATACTTTAGCGGCGTTTGTTGTAAAAACGCTGTAATAGATTTGATATTTAGCGGCGTTTTTACAAAAACCGCCGCAATAGGGTGGTTTATTGCGCCGTTTGTTAAAAAATGCCGCAATAGAGTGGTAAATTAGCGGCGTTTATACCATAAACGCCGTAATAGATTAACATATAGTGGTGTTTTAGCCAAAACGCCGCAATAGATCGGTAAATTAGCGGCGTTTATACCAAAAACGCCGCAATAGATTACACATATAGTGGCATTTATTCTTAAAACGCCGCAATAGTGATAATAAAAAGTGACGTTTTTAAATAAACGCCGCAATAATGTTAATCAATAGTGGCGTTTTTAGAAAAACACCGCAATAGTTTTAATCAATAGTGGCGTTTGTTAAAAAACGCCACAATAGTGTAATCAATAGTGGCGTTTTTTGTATAAACGCCTCAAAATGTTAAATATATATTCCTCTTTTTCTCCTACCTGAACCCTAAAATCAATTAAACTCTTCTTCCCTCAAAGCTTCTTCTCTGAAACAACAATAACTCTCAAACGATTCTTACCGACGTTGTCATTTGTATGTCCCGGCGACCAAATCGGGCCTCTCACCAACGAACTATAACACAACTGTACGATTTAGACCCTCTTATCATTAATGATCTTTTTCATTTTTTTGGTCTTCTGAAAATGGGGAAAACCCAAAAAGCTAACGTATTTGAGAAAAATAGAGCAGGTGTTGCCTTGAGTAAGAGAAATTATCGTCGACGGAATGTCTAAATGGCGTATTTGCTCTGATGACGGAATGTCTTAATTAAAATGTATGGTTGTTGTTAATATGTAAAATCAACTAATGTTTCTCCATATAATGTTTATACATATATCAGTCAATTTAGTTGATGTACATTAGAAATGAAATATGTAAAATCAACTAATATTATCTAAATAAAAGGTAATTAGTGGCGTTTGTATCCAGAAATGCCGCTATAGGTACGTACTTTAGTGATGTTTTTATACAAACGCCGCTATAGAATCGTACGTTAGTGGCGTTTCTATACAAACGCCGCTATATACTAGTACTTTAGTGGCGTTTCTATACAAACGCCGCTATATACTCATACTTTAGTGGCGTTTTGAATCTAAACGCCGCTATAGACTAGTACTTTAGTGGCGTTTTTATACAAACGCCGCTATAGACTCGTACCCTTAGTGGCATTTTTAGATAAACGCCGCAATAGATATAATATTTTGTGGCATTTTTAAAGATAAACACATCAATAGATATAATATTTTGCGGTGCTTTTATAGGGCAGTAACGACTCAGTAGAATTGTCAATTAGCGGTGTTTGGTTTACAAACGCCGCAAAGTATTATAAAAACCCCAAAATCAAATTTCTTACCCGAGCCCTAATTTCTTTCTCATCATCGTTCAGCCAAGCGTTCTGGATCCCCTTTCAGTGTCATTTCAGCAACTCTGCCTTGCCCTCCATCATCGGTTCATTTTCTTTCTTCCGTAGCCACAAGCAGTCAGAGACCCAGAGCCACCCAAACCAACGCCATTACATTTACGCCTGGTACTCTCTAAATCTCTTCTTTGCACTGAAATAAAAATGGGTATTGATTTACCATCTTATGTTTAGGATTTCTCATGCTTTTATGTAATGAAATTTTGAGTTTAAACATGCAATGTTTGGTTCTCCGTAATGGACGTATGATCCCCATTTAATGTTTTGAATGTATGTTTGAGTATAAACATTTTGACTGCTTGGACTGGGTTGGACTATTATCCAGGAAAATAGAGTTTAACATTCTGTCATGAACCTCTCATAATTTCAACTTCATTGAGGACAACTAAATGTCGATTGTTTCTGGAGATAAATGAATGGACAGCCGATTGTTTGGGCAATTTTAATTTGTTTCATGATGTCGTTTGGTAGTCAGGAAATAAATATGTCTATTTTGAGGGTCGATGCTAGGAAATTAGAATTGATTGGACTGTGTTGCATTTAGAATTTTATTTTTCTTAAGTAGAACACTATTTAAATGTTATTATTATTTGAAACATTCATCGATTCCACGAAACAACTCGATGCAAGTCGAGCCAACCACGTATAACAGTGTACTCATTGTCGACCTCCTTTCGAGTTTGGTCACCACATCTTCTGCAGTTAGGTCCTTCACTTGAGAAGTAGTCAGAGAATGTAATCGTTATCACATATTTGTTTTGTGTACTATATTGGTATACCTTGGTTTTCCTCCAAACTTTAGCGTTTAGGTAGTTTACTCTACAAGGCCGAACTCGTTTAGTTACCTGCACTGACTGCACTCTGTTAATTTCTTACAATGTTTGATTTATTTTCGGAAACGAACATCATCAAGACAGTCTTGTCTCAACTCT